ATTTGGTTTTTGTGTGCCCTGTTTTACTTATTTGCTTGTACTGGCATATGGAGAATATGAACATATGAATAAATCAAATATCATTAATAAAGTCTATGGCAAATATTATCCAAAATTCTTGAGATCCCACTTGATCATCTTTATTTGGGTATTATATATCTGGCCATAATGTTTTTTTTTAGATGACAAACTCTTGAAGAGGTAAGTGAATCACCTCTGTAATTTACATGCAGTCTGGGCCTTATAATGTGAATTATTGCATAGAGAAATATCTGAAAGGTATAAAACTGGGTTATTGTGAATCCTACAACTTTATTTATTTTATTTTATTTTTTTAATTTGGAAAAAGCTTTCTCTCTCTCTATTTTATTCACATAGTATATCTTATATAAAACCAGGGAAAGGAAGTAAAGAATGAGGTACATGCATTGTAAACTCTTTGTCTTAATTCCACTTCTTAGAAGAAATCATTAGTGTAGACTTTTTTTTTTTTCAACTGGCTGGTACATGAATCCAAACCCTGTGGACTTCTTTTTCAGAAGACTTTTTCCATTTGTATCCCACAACTTTAAAAGGTCAAGCCTAGAGACAACGTTGCCTTCTCTACCACCTTCTTGAATGCATTTTTGACTTCTTTGTTCCTCAGGCTGTAGACCACAGGATTAAGCATGGGGATGACCATAGTATAGAACACAGATGCAATTTTGTCTGTGTCCATGGAGTGACTGGAGCTTGGCTGGGAGTACATAAATATGACTGTCCCATAGAATATAGAGACTGTAGTGAGGTGAGAAGCACAGGTGGACAAAGCCTTTAGGTGTCCCTCAGCTGAGTGCATCTTCAGGATGGTGATAAATATGAACAGGTAGGAAATCAAGATAACCAGGAGAGCAAAAAGGGTATTGAAGCTTGCCACAAAAACAAGAATCAGCTCGCTAACATGTCTATCAGAGCAAGAGAGAGCCATAACTGCTGGGACATCACAGAAAAAGTGATGGACCAGATTGGACATACAGAAAGAAAGACTGAATGTGTCCCTGATGTGGATGGAGGCATTTATGAAACTATAGACATAGGAGCCTATGGCCAGATGAACACACACACTTGTTGTCATGGTGGTGGTGTAATGCAGGGGTTTACACACGGCTGCATAGCGGTCATAGGCCATTGACGCCAAGAGGAAATTTTCTGCAGTAGCCAAGGCCACAAAAAAGAACATCTGAGCTGCACATGCATTGTAGGAGATGGCCTTGTCTCCTTTAAGGAACCCAACCATCACCTTGGGAGTGACAACTGTAGAGTAACAAAAATCCACCAAAGACAAGTTACTGAGGAAAAAGTACATGGGAGAGTGAAGACCAGAGTCCAACAGAATCAACATAATCATCCCCAGATTCCCAACCACAGTGATGAGATAAATGAGAGTGAACATGATAAAGAGAGGAAACTGCAGGTGTGGGACATCGATTAGTCCTAGAAGGATGAATCCAGTTACTTCTGTATTGTTTTCCATGGATGGTATTTGTGAATCACAAGATGCCCTGTAACTATACAAAATAAAGGAACGGAGTGATAAACAAAAAGATATTGAAGTGAAATTGAAAATTATGTTTCTATATATGTATTATATGTTATATATATATATATTACATATATATGCATTATTTCATTATAGCAATATTTTTTACTTTGAGATCCTTGATATCTAAAGTATGAGTCTGATGATAAAATTTAATATGTAAATTATCCATAGAGTTACATACTGCTGAGGCTGAAAGATTTTCATGGATTATTTCCTATCGTTTAAATTTTGTAAATTTGTAAGCTGCAATGTACAAAATATAATGTCTTTATCAAGATGACTTGTCTGAATTGAACATATCTGTCAATTCAGCTTTTTAGGACTTCCAGTCAAGAGGGCAGAATAGACAGTCCCCAATGTCAGTCTCTCCCACAAATCAACCAATTTACAACTATGAAAAAGCAACAACAGCCAAGCTGGGGACGCTAGAGCTCAAGGGAAGAGGAGAAGAGACCTATGAAATGCATGAAGGCAGGAGAATCCACAATAAGAGAAAGAAAAAACCGCTCTTGACCATTTTGAATCCTGGCTGCTTCCAGGCTGGAGCTGCTGAGCACACGGAGCAGGAGCTGGCAAAAGCCATAGTTGCATCCTTCAGATGAAGTTTCTTGGAGGTGGCAGGAGAGAAAAGGGTCTCGGTGGCCCCCAGGCCGGCAAGACCAGTAATAGGGTTCCAGTGGACCCACATAAGACCAAGGAGCCACAACAACTGAAAAAAAGGAGCCACTCAGAGGCCAGTGAATCATTGCAAAGGACCGGCACACAGCCCACCCCATGGGACATGTTTGGAGCACAGGAAGTGGGGGAGACGGGCCCACTGGGGGAACACTGGGGCACAGCAAGGACATCTGACTTGCCCCTCCAATCAGCATAGGACCATTCATAGGAGACTGGTCAGGAATATAGAATTGCATGGGGTGCAGTTTGATGAAAAGACTGAGGCCCAGAGCAGAGTTTCTACACAACTCAGGTGCACCAGATTTCTCTAGACCTGGAAGTACCTATAATGTTAACCGTTAAAACCTGAGCTGCATAAAAAGCCTTCTCTAGGGAATCAGCAGTAAAGCAGCAACTTAGCTTAACTGCACAGCTCAAGTACTGGTCCCCACAGGAAGTTCCCCCATTTTAGAAGTAAGCAAAGAACAACAAATTAGTTCCAGTGCAGAGTTTAAGTGGTGGGAACGGCAAATAATCCAATAAAGAACTGAAAGAAAAAACAAAGTACCCACAACTAGAGACAAAGTTTGATATTAACTGGTAAAGGCCTCATTTCACCACAGAACACCTATAACACCTAGGACTGGAAGCCCCTTGGGCTACCAAGCCAGAAAGTGGGAGTGCCAGGAGCCTCAGCCATGCCCCCGACACCCACAACCAGCCCAGTGATGATCACCAAGCCTCTGCAGGAGGTGCCCTGGGCTCTCCTGAGCTGTGGCAGTGGGGGGCTGAGGGCCCCCTGCAACTGCACCCATCCCAGCAATGACCAAGCCACCAATTGAAGACCCCTGGTCTCCCCTGTGGGAATGAGGGGTGTGTCACAGGCCTCAATCCTGTCCCTCCTCCTTTCTCCTTCTTCCATCTGATCTCCTTACCCTTTCTCCTCTCCCCCTTCCTCCCAACTGCTCCACAACATCATAGAATGTAAAAAAAATGATATTAATAAAGTTTTATTAAAAAAAATTTTTTTTAATAAAAATTTTTTCCCTGGGATTGATTTTTATTTTTACTTTTTAATTTTTTTATTTTTGTCTTTTTCCGTGTCCGGCAACAGATCGCAACCCTCAGTGTCGCCCCCGTGCCGGACCGGGACCGGCAACGGGATCGCAACCCTCGGCATTGCTCCCGCGCCTCGCTCAGCCAGCGAGCGGGAACTGGTCTGCATGTGGGATCCGAACCCTCGGCGGGAGCGCCACCGCACTTCCCAAGCGGCGCACTATAGCAGTGCGCCACCGGGCCGGCCCTGATTTTTATTTTTTTGATTTTTAAAAAAAAAATTTTATTGAATCAAAAATGATTATACATATTTTGGGGGTTCCTCATTGAGATATGTTGATCAAATCAATATTACTAGCATATATATTGTGAGAAATCATAATTATTATTTATGCCCCTTGTCCGATCCTTCCCCATTCCCCTTCCTCTATTTACCCTAGATTTCTTCTCTCCCTGTGAAAGAATAAGGGTTACTCTGTTGATTCGCTGCCCAAATGATCTGTCCAATGCTGAGAAGCATGATCAGGTCCCCCAATACTATCATAGAGCAGATGCCTCTTCCGTCACTCTGAAATGGGCTCTGGGGAGAGAGACATCCTCCTCCATTCTTTATCTGTGCTGGTGACTCTCTTTGTGTCAACGCACTCCAGTGGCTGATGGACCATCTGCATGGTGGTTGTGGCATCTAGCTGCCTTTGTGGCAGCCATGGTTATCGTGGTGGCTGTGGTGGACCACCCACATGGAGGAGATGTCTTAGCCTACTCCTTGCTACTGGCGGTATGCCTGGCTACGGGGAGAGTCCGATCCCTGGCTCCTTACCCTGGGTCCCTGCGTGGGCCCTGAGGCACTGGCGTGGTGAGCCTGGTTGTGGGAGGGGAGTCCGGTCCCCTTCTCCATGCCTTGGGTCCCCAGGCGGGCTACAAGGAGCTGGCATGGTATGTCTGGTTGTGGGAGGGGGGTCTGGTCCCCTTCTCCATGACTCGGGTCCCTGGTTAATAAAATTTTTTAAAAAGGAAAAAAAATCCAGCTTTTCAAAGCCTAATAGATGCTTAGAATTCTATGTTGCTCCTGTGCCTAGAACTACTTTAGATATTTTGTATACATATGCATTTTTTCTTCTAAACAACTTTGTGAGATTAATTAATGTTATATCCATTTAACTTATGAAGCACAGAGTTTGAGTATTGTATGCGTATTTAAGTAGATAAAATTATAACTGTCAAACCCAAGATTTTTACTTAGGCAGAGTGGTTCTTAAGTCCACTGATCTTAACTGAATTTAAAAATTAAATTAAAATTAACTCAATTTACAATTATTCCTTGTTTGCAAGGCTCCAAACTCAGTGTTTGGGGTCTCACAGTGAAGCAACTGAGAGATATATATGCATAGTAGATCTGGTTGGACAACAGCAGCAGTAGGGACATATGTAACCAGCAGAAGCAGTTATGAGAGGAAGGCCAAACATTGGGTATAGAGCTTGGGCTCTGGAAAGAGGTGCGTATCAGCCCTACCAATTACTACCTAAGAGACAATGGTTCTAAACTAACTACCTGATTTTCTTCACTACAAAATGAAAATTGTGATGTTGAGCATTTTTTCATGTGTCTGTTGGCCATTCATTTATTCTCCTTTGAGAAATGCCTATTCAGCTCCTTTGCCCATTTTTTAATTCCATTACTTTTTTTTTTTTTTTTTTTTTTTTTTTTGCTGTAAAGTTGTTTCAGTTCCTTGTATATTCTGGATATTAATCCTTTTTCAGATGTATATTTTGAAATGTTTTCTCCCACTCTGTTGTTTTTTTTACTCTGTTGATTGTTTCTTTGGCTCTGCAGAAGCTTTTTAGTTTAATATTATCCCATTTGTTTATTATTCCTTTGGTTGCCTGCCCTTTGGGGGTTGTATTAATAAAGTCTGTGCCCAATCCTACTTCCTGAAGTGTTTCCTCTATGTTTTCTTTAAGGAGTCTTATTGTCTCAAGATGTACATTTAATTCTTTAATCCATTTTGAGTTGCTTTTGGTATATGGTGAAAGGTACAGGTCTAGCTTCATTCTCCTAAATATGAATGTCCAATTTTCCCAGCACCATTTACTGAAGAGGCAATCTCTTCCCCAGTGTGTAGTCTTGGTGCCTTTCACTCAGCATATGGGAAATGCAAATCAAAACCTCTTTGAGGTACCATCTCACTCCAGCTAGGATGGCTAATATGCAAAAGACTGAGAAAGATAAATGCTGATGAGGATGCGGAGAAAAAGGAACCCTCCTACACTGCTGGTGGGACTGCAAAATGGTGCAGCCTTTACACTGCTGGTGGGACTGCAGAACCCTCCTACACTGCTGGTGGGACTGCAAAATGGTGCAGCCTTTATGAAAAATGGTATGGAGTTTCTTCAAACAATTACAGATAGATCTGCCACGTGACCCAGCTATTCCACTGCTGGATATATACCCAGAGGAATGGAAATCATCATGCTGAAGGAATACCTGTACTCCCATGTTTATTGCAGTGCTATTTACAATAACCAAGAGTTGGAACCAACCTAAATGCTCATCATCAGATGAGTGGATAAGGAAAATGTTGCATATCTACATAATGGGATTCTATTTTGCTATTAAAAAAAGTGAAATACTACCATGCACAGCAACATGGGTGGACTTAGAGAAAATTATATTAAGTGAAATAAACCTGGCACAGAAAGCAAAATACCTCATGTTCTCACTTATTTATGGGGCTAATAAAAATAAACAAATAAATATATAAACAAATAAATGGGGGTGGGGGAAAGAAACAACAACCACAACAATTCCTTGAACTTGTTAAGACAAGTGAACAGGTATGATGTTGATGGGGGAGGAAGAGGGGGAAAGGAGGAATTGTTAGAGACGTAAAAATCAACTGCATTGTATTTTGATAAATTAAAAAAAGAAAGAACAAAAAACAAATTGAAATTGTAATAAAATCTACCTAGAGATATTGAGAGAATTAAATGAGATAATGCATAAAAACAATGAGTAAAATGCTGGGTGTTTATCAAAACTTGATTAGCGGTAGGTGTATTAAGATGAAATGATGACCTCTGTTTGAGAAAGGTGGGTGGTAACATGCAGGCATCAGGTGTGGATGAGTTTTGAAATCTCATGCCTTCCTTCTTCAATGTGCATTGAAAAACACAATTGGTCCTCCTTCTTCAATGTGCGTTGAAAAACAGAATTGGTC